AGAAGAAGAAGAAGAAGAAGAAGAAGAAGAAGAAGAAGAAGAAGAAGAAGAAGAAGAAGAAGAAGAAGAAGAAGGGCAGAGAAGGAGGGGGCTGGATGGAGTCACTGAAGCAGCTGGTGGGAGCTTCAATGGACTCCCAAGGAAGGTGGAGGACAGGTGGTCCATGGGGTCGAGATGGGCCGGACATGACTTCGCAACTCACAACAACAAAACAGGGCTTGCCGGATTGACCTGCAAAAGGCCATTCCCCCCACCCCACCCCACCCCCGTTCCAACATCCTTGCCCGACATCCAAAGGAGAGAAGGAAGAAATGGAGTTAAACATTAAATACTAAAGACACTTCACTTCGTTCTGGAAATTTGACAGCATCTTTTCAAAGGCTGGTTGGGATCTGTTGACTCTTCTCCCATGGTCCGAATTACACTCAACCCCCCCAACCCAAAAAAGGTTCTCCCCCCCCCACCAAAGTCGACATAAAGATTCTCAGTCACCCATCAGGTCCTAGTTGCCCCAGAGGTGCTTTTTCCTTTTCCCCCCAAGAGGCAACTGGGGGTTATGGGGTTTTTATTTCCTTTTAAGACCTTTCGCTCCTCCTCCCAGAAGCTTCTTCGGCTTCTTCAGAAAGTCCCGCTGCCTCTTGAAAAAACACCTTTGGGGCTTCCTGTCCCCCCCCCCCCCAAGACTTCCCTGCGCTCAATGCCCGCAAAGTCTGGGATTCCCAGGCTGGACAGCGGAGCAATGCTAACCCCAAGGCGCTAATAAGGTGAAGGTGGCTCTCGCGCAGCGCAGGGGACCCTCCCCCCAAGCCTCTGGGGGTGGGCAAGCTCCCCAAAGGGCCCCTGGGCAAGAGCCCTCCCCTCCCCTAGGAGACCCCCACCCTCTCTGCCGCGCCTTGCGTTCCCTTTCCCCGCGACGCGCTCACCTTCCCGCAGCGCGCTTCCTCCTCCTCCTTCGCTGCCGCTGCTGCCCCCGGAGGGGTCGAAAGCCCCCTTGCCGCCTTCCCGAGCTTCGGAGCGGGGGTCCTGGCCGGGCGTCCCGTTCATGCCGACGGCCGCTTCCTCCAGATCCAAGAGGTGGCTGACGCTGAAGTTCTTGCGCGCCTGAGGGTTGTCGGCGGGCTCCAAGATGCGCACCGGGTTGGGGGCGAATTGCTTGTCCATGCCGTAGGCGGCCACCGCTTCCATGGCGCCCGGATCCAGCTTGTGGGGCAGAGAGAGACCCCCGTCCGGGCAGGAGTTGCGATCCGGCCAGCCTCCCTTGGCGGCCCCCAAACCGACTCACCGCCCCCCCCAAAAAAGTTTTTCTTCTGCTTTGATTTCCACACCCAAACACACACACACACACACACACACCCTGTCTTCCTCCTCCACCTACGTTTTCCTGGTGGGTTGTGCGCGCGCGTGTGTGTGTTTGTGTGGGCCTGCTCTGAGGGTGTGTGGGAGTCTTTATTATATTCACTGTCCCTCGGTCTGACTCTTCCTTCCTTCCTTTCTCTTCCTTCCTCTCTTCTTTCACTCTTTCTCTGCGTCTCCTAGTCCTCCTTCTTTCACTCTTCCGCTTTCTTTCTTCCTTTTTCTTCTCTCTCTTCTCTCTGTCCTTCTCTCCCTCGTTCACTCTTTCTCTCTGTGTCTTCCTTTCTCTATTTCTCCCTCACTTCTTCTGTCTTTCTCTCTCTCCCTCTTTCACTCTTTCTCTGCGTCTCCTAGTCCTCCTTCTTTCTCTCTTCCGCTTTCTTTCTTCCTTTTTCTTCTCTCTCTTCTCTCTGTCCTTCTCTCCCTCGTTCACTCTTTCTCTCTGTGTCTTTCTTTCTCTATTTCTCTCTCTCTTCTTCTTTCTCTCCCTCCCTCTTTCCCCCTTTCTCTCCGTGTGTCTCTCTTGCTCTCTCTCTCTCTCTCTCTCTCTCTCTCTCTCTCTCTCTCTCTCTCTCTCTGCGGGTGTCTCCCGTGCAGCTTGTGAACCGGCGAGAGA